TTTTTTTTTCAAAAATGGGATTTTTTTCGAAAATTGTGCTGATTGTACAGATTTTTTAAAAAAATGTACGGATCTTTAAAAAAATGTACGGATTGGTTTAAAAAAATGTACGGATTGTACGGATTTTTAAAAAAAAAATTGTACGGATTGTACGGATTGTTTTTCGAAAATTGTACGGATTGTACGGATTTCTTCTGAAAATGTACGGATTTTTGTACGGATGGGTTCAAAAAAGTTTTGGCCACCCTGTATATATAATGTGACTCGCGCATTTCTACTGCATGAAAACATAATTGAATTCAACGCTTGCAAGCCTCGAAAAACATCAACATCAATATCACATTATTGATCAGATAAAGTTTTCAAGGGTATCGTTCTGAATCGGACATTGCATGGAGGGTCACTTGAAATTGCGCTTACAGTCGCTTTCACTATCGGAAAATATGGAAATATTTCTTTCGATCAAAATAATTTATATTTTTCTATTGTAACATTTTAGTTTAAGGCGAAAAGCATTTTCTACATACTATAGAAATATTTTAACATTTTAGTTCACGGCGAAAAGCTTTTTCTACTGATACTGTAGAACATTAAAATATTTTTTCAATGCGAAAAGTTATTTTTAATTGTTGTAGAAAACTAAAAAAATTTGATATTTCAGCAAAAAGCCTACAACAATCCACAATGCTTTGGTTTTAAAAAATATTGCATAAAAGCAAGCTTTCCCCACTGTTGTGGACGTTTAAGATGAAAATAATGTGCTTAAATCTCGTATATAGAATTAGCTAATTAAGAGTTTTTAAGAAGAAGAAGAAGGAACACAAAGAAAATTTTCAATCATTTCTATATTCCAAATCTACGAAATATGATAAAAAACATTATAATTTTTTCCAAGAATTTATTTTTTAATCTTAATATTTTTTTCCAAATATATATTCTTTAGCAAACTTAATAGTTTCCCAAGAAATTTTTTATATTTTTTAAATTTGCCTATTTTAGTTTCATTTATTAAATTCGTCTTTTTAATTTAAATTTGGAAAAAAAGTAAATGAAATAAAATAAAATATGTCAGAAAAATAAGAGAGGAATTCAAAAGAAGAGGGGGTGGGCGACCTTTCCTGTTGCTAAAGCTCCCAAAAAGGGCACATTTTTCGGTCAAAAAAAAAGGCAAGATCGTTCAGATGATGTGATTTTGTCTAAGAAATGTTAAAATTAGATTTCAATAATTTGTTTGCCTCTGAACGCGCCCATAGCAAAATGGCCTTGTTTCACAGATATTTGAAACTTTGAGCTGAATCTTCTAGCCGAAAACATATCCCCAGTTCTGATTTGATTTGAACCCAAACCCCGATAAATAGAAGCAACAAAGCTTATATCTGGGGTCCGGAGGCTGAAACTGCATGGTGTTCTGGCACACCGTCGGATGTCCACGGTTGTGAGTTTTACTGGGTTTATTAAATATCCGGACTGAAAATGAAATTCAAAAAACACACACAAGTATACTTTATATATTGGAAGCAAAAATACATTAATGCAATTAAACATCTTAGCCACGGGCCGTAATTCCTTAATCACATACTGATTTATGTTATGTCATTTCAGTGCTTTATTCAGTAGGTTGTTTGGATTTCCCTGAAACTCTGATTTGATTTGATTTGAATAGAAAAATGTAAAAAATAAAAAAGCAAAAAGAGTTTTTTTCCTCCACGCAATGACTGGAACAACGACTCCAACTAAATTTGAGGTGAAATAAGCTGTTTTACTTTACAACACTATGGTGCTCGTATTTGTACCGTACCGAATCATTTTGAACTGTATAGTGATGTACTCATAGAGAATAGAATATATATTAGATGGGAATTTACTAGAAAAAAGTGTAAAACGGCCATTTTGTTGTACTGTTTCCATACTGCAGGTGTACTTCACATATTTATGCTATATAACCTTTTGAGCCCTGGAATATCATTTACAGAAAATCTAAAATTATTGTTAAAAGAAAACCAAATTATGAAATAGGCTGGTTTCATAATTGACCAATGATCATTTCACATAGACTCTATGCCTTCCACTTTACAAACGATGATTTTCCGTTATAACTATAAATCAAATGATGTTTTTTATTCACCTAATTCATTATAAAGTTTATTTAACAGTTTAAAAAATTCGAAATTGAAATGAATAGTCTAGGGAACATACTGTATTAATGTACTCTACTGCATATAATTTGTAAACATTTACATGATTTGTACACTTTGAACTCCCTTTCAGGCTGAAAGGGACTGAAAAAATTCATACCAAGAGATTCTTTAAATTCCCCTCTAATATATATTCTATTCTCTATGGATGTACTGCACTTTACTCAACTTTATATATAATACTGACTGAACTATACTTTATTGTACTGTGCTGCATTGATTTGAAATAAACTTATTGTATTATAGTGTACTGTACTATACTGTACTGTACTATACTATGTACATACTGTACAATGTACTATGCAGTACATTGAAACATACAAATGCGAGAGGTAGTTGAACTAAGTATGGATTGTTAAACTACATATAATTGTATTGTACAGGACCTGCTGGAACTGATTGGAACTAAGGGAAGATGGCAGTACAGAACCTTCTTCTTCCTCTGGATAGAGGGGATTATCATTGGTAACATTCTTAATCCTGTTGGGGAGGATGGGGGTTCCTTCCTTATGTATAGCCTCCCTGTGTATTTTTTAATGTAACAGCTTACTAAAAATACGATTTCGGTGGTCTCATAGAAACTCACTCTCCTCTAAACCCCACTTTTTCTTGAGTCAGAGTTCTGCAAATCACGGTAGTGCACACCGAATGCTTAGTTTAGGGTGAACTTTAACCGTCGCAATTTCAAGTGACCTCAGTGACCCCAATTTTCCATTTTAAGTGACCTCAGTGACCTCAGTGACCCAAATTTAAAGAAGTCCAAGGACCAATTTTACAATGGTTCCATTTAAAGCCTTGTCGGAATTTCAGAGAAAAATATAACCTTGTTTTTCTAGCAAGCTCTCTTTAGTTTAGTTTCCTTTATTTAGTATTGCATTATGATATTTTTATTATATAATTATTTATTAACCCTGACTAAACATGTAAAAAAATATGTTTATAGACTTAAAAGAAACTATCGATGAAAGCCATAGTGGAACCGTAGAATCAATCATTTTATTATCATCATTACTTTTGTTGTTTTTATAATTGTATTCGCAGATTTCTTCAAAATGTTGTCTGAAAGAATTTGCATATACAGGGTGTCCAACGAAACATGGCAGTTGGTAAATAGTTTTGAATGTCTTCTTCCATATACTGTAGATGTGAAAGGCTTTTAACGTTTATTCCGTTTGAAATGGAAGAAGACATTCTAAACTATTTACCAACTGTCATGTTTCGTGGGACACCCTGTACTTGCGAGATTTTAAAATGAACTTTAATAACTTAATTTCAATAATATGAGTTCAATATTTATCTCAGTATGTTTGTATACATATGGAACTCGTTTGTAGAATAGTATTGATACATGTTTCAAAGGCGTATACAGAAATAATCTAGGGGGGAGGCCGAATTTTTTTGTCCCCCCCTAGGAGCTNTAAACAAACAGTAAATAAACAAACAGAATATGTAAAAAATATTGAGAATATTATTATTCAGAACCAAATCACGAATTTAATCAAGCTATTTATGGGATTGCTCTAACCTTACAAATTCGCTAAGGGACTGTTCTCAATTTACAAACCGCGTTCCAACAACATTTAACAAATTATTGAGAACCATTAAATAAATTACGCAACACCCTGTATACGCCCTTGACATGTTTTATCCGTGTTATTTGAAAAAAAAACGTTTTTTCTGCTGGCTTGAAACATATGGTGAAATATTACAAACGAATTTAAACTCTTATTTAAAAATTGTACACCGTAAAAATGTCTCATTGGTATAAAAAAATACCAAAGTTTTTCTCTACAATACTGCATTCTCAGCTCAACTGCCAGGTCTAACTGGTCTCTCCCCTTAAAGGGAGGTTAATTTGACTAAAACGTCATTTCTCCCTGTAAATTTGAATTTAGTTTTTTTTTCAGGGTTTCATCATCTTTCCTCAGTATTTCTTGGATATACTCCGGGTTTCTGGTGTTCTGATCCAGATATATCCTACCCTGGCTCCTGGACACCAGACCAGATAAAGGTATATATATATATACTCCAGTATTCTGGTGTACTGATCCAGATATATCCTACCCTAGCTCCTGGACACCAGACCAGATAAAGGTATATATATGTATACTCCAGTATTCTGGTGTACTGATCCAGATATATCCTACCCTAGCTCCTGGGCACCAGACCAGATAAAGGTATATATATGTATTCCAGTATTCTGGTGTACTGATCTAGATATATCCTACCCTAGCTCCTGGNACTTTACTTTACTTTACCGTACTGTAATGTACTGTAATGTACTGTAATGTACTGTAATATTACTGTACTGTACTGTACTGTAATATACTTTACTGTAATATACTTTACTGTAATGTACTGTAATGTACTGTACTTTACTGTAATGTTCTGTACTGTACTGGTTCATACTGTTTTGTACATTATTGCAATCTATTATTTGTTCAGCACTAGATGTACCATACTGTACAGAGCTGTACTATATTAAAATAAGGAAGACGACTTTTGATTTTGATTTATATAAGATTTTAAACAGCATGGATACACAAAAACATGGAAACAAAGAGATGCTGTCAATAAAATAAGCTTCTCTTTAATTACAAATAAGCTTGAAGTTATGGAAAAGCTTGTTAACAATTAAAACTCAAATAAAAAAGTCTTCATTATATTAATATATTCGCTTACTACCGTATATTGTACTGAACTGTACTGTACTGTATTTGTTTAGAACTACACTGTACCTGTGGATTCTGGCGGGAAATTTGAAACATGCTTCATGTACAATCTTACAGGGGTAAACATCAACTCAGACTTCAGGTAAGCATTTGAATCAAACAATTGAGATAATTTCCAATAATGGAAAACGACAAATTTTCATATAAGATAACATTAAAAACGTTTGAATTTAATTTTTCTGAAATTTCTAAGCCTCAGTGTTATTATGATACAGGTTTGAATTGGTGCCGGAAAAAATCTTTTTATGGAACATTGTATGAAAAGAAAGTATTTGGTTCAAAATGAGGATTCAAATGATCAAGACTCCCAAATATTAGTGAAGACGATTTTTATTCTAATCGTGCAATGATATCCAACACGATATTTTATCTATGCGCTTAAAGGGACTGTAAGCGGATTTTTTTGTGACCCTCCATTTAAAGAGCGGCCTCCAAAAAGTACACTCCAATTTTACGACTTTTTACACAACATTTAAGAGACATAAACATTATACACTGAGTTCTCTGTCCTCGATGATCAGTCCAAAGTTCCAAAGTTTGAAGGGTACCGTTGTGAATCCGGGATGTCCCTCTTTAAATTATTATTATTACTGAAGGATAACCCAATATTCAATGAAATGGAAGGTCACATAAAATCACAATAACAGTCTATTTAATTTGTATTTAACAGAAGAAGGTTCTTTAGTTTTTTGCTTTTAAAGCTTTGATAAAATCCACGAAATGGGACGCTTTTATACATACATAACTGTACAGTACGGCAATGATTGAGCGTGTAGGAGGTGTGAAGGGGTGCTCTAACTATGAATACAATAAGGACATGGGAATCACTATCGGTAAGATTGAATTACACAGTTTAATATATAGATGAGATAAGGCTCATCCTCGGTAAATAACTGTTCATGCTTTTTCAGCCCAAATGGGATTTAAATTCTTTGGAGTTAACTTTTCTTTTTCTGTGATACTTGAATTTCACTATTCTGTGGTAAGATATTTCACTATTCTGTGGTAAGATATTTCACTATTCTGTAGTAAGATATTTTACTATTCTGTGGTAAGATATTTCACTATTCTGTGGTAAGACATTTCACTAATCTGTGGTAAGATATTTTACTATTCTGTCGTAAGATATTTTACTATTCTGTGGTAAGACATTTCACTATTCTGAGGTAAGATATTTTACTATTCTGTCGTAAGATATTTCACTATTCTGTGGTAAAATATTTCACTATTCTGTCGTAAGATATTTCACTATTCTGTGATAAGATATTTTACTATTCTGTGGTAAGATATTTTACTATTCTGTCGTAAGATATTTCACTATTCTGTGGTAAGATATTTTACTGGTCTGGGATATTTTTTGCAGATTTTTGATGAGAATTTGTATGCCTTCACTTTCTTACATTGCCTAAAGATCATAATGTACAACTTTTTAATAATTTTTTTCTTTACAATTTTTAAATTTTTTTTTATACATTTAAAATGTTTTAGTGTCTGAATGGGACTTGGTGTGTGACAGAACAGCTTTGCTTTCAACAGTTCAAGTAATCTTTTTAAACCTTTTTATTACATTTTTATTCCATTTTTTACAGAAACTCATATTTGATAAATGTTTATTTCTTCTATGGGAAAAACAAATATTTTTATTCAAACCTAAATTACATTTCATAATTCATTTATTCCAATTCTAAATCTGTCTTGTATTGCAAGGGGAGAACAAATTCTAAGTTTTTAACATTTAAATCATATTTTTTTTACTTCCTCAAATGTAGTGTAAGCGTAATTTCAAGGAAACCTTTTGGAATCTTTATCTTTTCAATAGTATAGGAAGCTATTGTTGTATGGGAGGTTTATGTTTTCAATAGTATAGGAAGCTATTGCTGTATGGGAGCTTTATCTTTTCAATTGTATAGGAAGCTATTGCTGTATGGGAGCTTTATCTTTTCAATAGTATAGGAAGCTATTGTTGTATAGGAGCTTGAAAGTGTTTAATTGTGATAATTACGAAATGTTTTCCTACAATAGAAATGCGCCAGTCATTTTGTAGAGAAAACACTTAATTTAAAATGATCAGTTTTCACAATTTTAAAAATTGATATCTTATTCATACTTGATTCGACGCAGCTTTTAAGAGTACCGTTGTGAATCGAACATTACCATCTTTGCATGGAGGGTCACTTGAAATTACGCTTACAGTCTCTTTGACTGGAAGCATTTCATACTCGATATCATTCTGAATTATTTGAAAACTAAATTTTTTTCATTTTTTGATTGAAATTTTGAGTTTACGTTGTAAACTTGACCAAACTAAAGAGTAAATAGGGCGTATACACTACAGGAGGCTTCATTTTTTCTTTCCAGAAAGGAGGGGCTTATCACCTACGTTTTAGCCTGAAAACCTCCTGGAAACCATAGATTATTAATACCAAAGATTATTTCCAGGGAAGTTACATGGGAGGAGTATTTGTTGGCTGCATATTCTGGGGTTGGTGTAGCGATAAATTTGGTAGAAGGTAAATATTAAATAATAGGAAGAAATATTCTACAGTTGTATTAATACAATGAAGACGACTTTCTATCTCAATTTTGATTTCTAGCAAGCTTTCAAACAGCATGGATATTGGATACACATACACCATGGGAATAAAACAGCAAAGTTTTCTTCATTGTATTGATAAGAGAAAACTCTGATTTCTTAGATTGTAATTCTAGAACAATATTCTAGATAATATTCTAGAATATTCTAGAACAAGCTTCACTTCCATTTAAAGAGTTACATTTCCGAATCACATTCACATCAATAAACTTTAAACTTTTTCTGATTAAAACTGATTAAGATATCCCTGTTCTTCGTCTAAAAATTGCGGTTTTCAAAGTGATTTGAGAGATTTCTTGATAATCAGTAGATAACGGTTAGACATTTGACTCTTTTAATAAAGGGTCAAATAAAATAAAGTAGACAGTCCCTTTAACATTTTTTTGTATTCAAAAATTAGTTTTGTGTTTATTAAGGCCGAGTATTCTCGTATCCTGTCTCTTCCAGATCTTCAGTAGTGTCGCTGCAGCATTCTCCGTTAACTACATTATGTTCATATTCTTCAGGTTTAGTAGCAACTATATCATGTTCATATTCTTCAGGTTTAGTATTAACTATATCATGTTTATATTCTTCAGGTTTAGTATAAACTATATCATGTTCATATTCTTCAGGTTTAGTATTAACTACATTAGGTTCATATTCTTCAGGTTTATCATTAACTACATCATGTTCATATTCTTCAGGTTTAGTGTAAACTATATCATGTTCATATTTTTCAGGTTTAGTACTAACTATATCATGTTCATATTCTTCAGGTTTAGTATTAACTATATCCTGTTCATATTCTTTAGGTTTAGTATCAACTATATCATGTTCATATTTTTCAGGTTTAGTAGCAACTATATCATGTTCATATTCTTCAGGTTTAGTATAAACTGCATCATGTTCATATTTTTCAGGTTTAGTACTAACTATATCATGTTCATATTCTTCAGGTTTAGTATTAACTATATCATGTTCATATTTTTCAGGTTTAGTAGCAACTATATCATGTTCATATTCTTCAGGTTTAGTATAAACTACATCATGTTCATATTCTTCAGGTTTAGTATCAACTATATCATGTTCATATTCTTCAGATTTAGTATCAACTATATCATGTTCATATTCTTCAGGTTTAGTATCAACTATATCATGTTCATATTCTTCAGGTTTAGTATAAACTATATCATGTTCATATTCTTCAGGTTTAGTATTAACTATATCATGTTCATATTCTTCAGGTTTAGTATTAACTATATCATGTTCATATTCTTACGGTATTTTTCAAGAATAAGTAGCGCAAAATTTCCTTTTTCCGTAATTGCAATAAGTAATCTAAAAGCCAGAGACAGAATTATCATTAACCATCCAAGAACCGTAAGCCTTCGTCCAATGCTGATTTAGTAAAGCAACATCAGTTTTCGACATTGTTGGTGGGTCATCCCCAAACACTCTGATTTGATTTGATATGCATTCTTAATTTTTGCAGATTTTTCGTTGCGTTCTCCGTATCAGGAGTGTTCGAGTGTGGTTTTGTTCTTGTTACTGAGATTGTTTCTGCAGAGCTTCAACTATATCATGTTCATATTCTTCAGGTTTAGTATCAACTATATCATGTTCATATTCTTCAGGTTTAGTAGCAACTATATCATGTTCATATTCTTCAGGTTTAGTAGCAACTATATCATGTTCATATTTTTACGGTATTTTTCAAAAATAAGTATCTAAAAGCTGCAGAGACCGAATTATCATTAAACATCCAAGAACCGTAAGCCTTCGTCCAATGCTGATTTAGTAAAGCAACATCAGTTTTCGACATTGTTGGTGGGTCATCCCCAAACACTGATTTGATTTGATTTGCATTCTGAATTTTTGTTTAGATTTTTCGTTGCGTTTTCCGTATCAGGAGTGTTCGAGTGTGGTTTTGTTCTTGTTACTGAGATTGTTTCTGCAGAGCTGAGAACTCCCTTCGGTATCATGACACAGGAAGGATATTTTCACTTAACAAAAATGTCTATTTTTTTCACAAGGAAAAGTCATTATTTGAAAATGGAGATGATTTCTTGCCACAAACTCTGATTTTCTATCTATCTTTGCACCCCGATTTCTAAGACCTTTGATATTTAAAAAAATTCTGATGGATCAAAAAGTCTAAGCTTACAAAATCAAATGTTTACATGCCTTCAGGTTGCACATTTTCACTTTCCACAATCCAGTTTTAATTTGTCACCGTAATCTGTTCCGACTTTTTAAAAAGTTTTATTTATTGAACTGAGTTGTTGCCACAAAATCAGATTTTCTCATTCCTATATCCATGTAACCCGATGTCATAAAACTTTGATGTTTCATACTATGTTCAGTGTCAGATCAAAAAGTCTGAGTTTGAAATATAAAAGGTTTACACAGCTGTGGCAAAATGCAAATATACAGGGATAAGAAAGTTTGAGTTTGTTGCAAGCTCGAGTTCCATTTTGGATAGTTTTATCATAGATTAATTTGAAACCATTATCTATTCCTATAATTTAATTATTTAGGATTTTTCTCAAAGTTTTATTAGATTCTATCAAAGTTTTATAAGGTTCTATCAATTCTGTTACCGATAAAAATGAATATCTATTATATCGAGCCAATAAAATACATCAAATCAACAATTCCATTTAAAAGTTGATATGGTTAATAAGGGGTGCATATTTTTCAGAAATGATTTTTAATCATGGGGGGGGGGGAAAGTACATCAAAAGGCTATTTTTTTCATTCTTTTTCATACTTTTCACACAAAAATCATGTTCGGAGAAAATATGCATACATCCCTGGTTTAACTGTCCTTTAATCCGTCAAACACAATGAAACACACTGCGTTTGTCCATTGATATAATTTAAGAACCATATTGGTTCAACTAATTTTTTATATTTGAAAAATCCTTTTTAAAGTTTCCGTTTGGGATTGGAGCATCACTTCTACCTTTAGGAAATTAATTATTTAACAATAAAAAACCATAATAACATTTTTATTTTTTAATGATTTAGAAATATCCGTTAGATTTTAAATATTGAAAATTGTCTGTTGGTCTAAGATGAACTGATCTGTCATTAGTGGAATTTAAAAAGTTAAAATATTCTTTAAAATTTGATCAATTTGTTATATAAAGTTTTACTGTTCAACTCAATTACATTTAAAGGGACTGAAAGTGTAATTTCAAGTGACCCTCAATGCAAAGATGGCAATGCCCGATTTAAAACAAAACCCTCAAAGGCTTTGTCAAATCAAGTATGAATTAGATATGAATGTTTCTGTCATTTTTAAACTGTTTATTTTCATTTGTTGTTACTCTGCAAGAGTGTCTAACCACTTGTTGACTAGATTAAGGGTAGCGTTGAAACTTGGACTTTGTCATCTTTCCAATTAAGGGTTATTGGAAATTACGCTTACAGTCTATTTAACAATGTAAAATGCGCTAAAAATAATGCATAGCTTAAAAATAAAATGTGTACAGTTGCGTATTTCATCAAGGATTGGCAACCCCTGCAGCTAGCAATATCCATCCCTTCCATCCTTCTTGTAACCTACTACTGGTTTATTCCGGAGAGTCCTAGATGGCTTGTCTCAGAAAACAGGTAAACAGCTTACGGTCAGTTCAGGTCTCGTTTCAAGCTTATATTTTGGTTTTTCTGTTACGGCCCCGGTTCGATGTTTCTCACTTTCTATTTAAAGAGAGGCATGACGGATTCATAAAACAGGTCACAACCTAGTTAATGATGTGGGAGATATTGTCGGTTTTCTAGCTTAAAAATTGTTTAATTTTGAGAATTTCTTCCACTGTTTCTTTATAGTTAATAAAGAAAACAAGAGTTGTAATTAAAAAATTAAAAGAAAATATATTATAAATATATACATATATATATATATATATAGGCGCAATTCAGATGTACGTCACTACTACGTATTCATTTTATTAGCCTAAATCATGTGATATATATAACAATGAACATCTTAATTGCACCTATTTCAACTTTGCTGTAATACATAAATAACATGAGTGTCTTAATCATGTGATATAGATAGCGACGTAGGAATTGTAATTACTTCTATTAACTTTAACTTGTAACATACAAACCTCAAATAAATTAGTTGATAAAGAGACTCCGTACTGTTTAATGCGAGAGAGTAATCATTCCCTGTTTTGATAAGCAGGTTGAGGATCGTGCCCTTTGATTGGTATCGATTGATATCAATAGCTACCGAGATCGCGCCCAGTGGTAGTGACGTTGATAGATCAGGGATTGTATTCACGTGGTTCCCTGTTTTGATAAACAGGTTAAGGATTGTGCCCTTTGATTTGGCATTGATAGTTGCAAGCTTCCGATTGATATTGATAACTAACAAGATCGCGCCCAGTGGTAGTGGCGTTGATAGATCACAGATGGTATTCGTGTGGTTCCCTGTTTTGATAAACAGGTTGAGGATCGCGCACTTTGATTTGGCATTGATAGTTGCAAGCTTCCAATTGATATTGATAACTAACAAGATCGCGCCCAGTGGTAGTGGCGTTGATAGATCACAGATGGTATTCGTGTGGTTCCCTGTTTTGATAAACAGGTTGAGGATCGCGCACTTTGATTTGGCATTGATAGTTGCGAGATTGTATCCGTGTGTTGACATTAATAGTCAAGAGAATCTGAGTTGTACCTGGATAGATACGTTCTCAGAAACTGTTATATGGAGTAGGCATTCGCTTCACACATTGTAAAACAAAAACAAACAAAATTTCGCGGATTTAAAAAAACGAATTTGTTAGAAGCAAATTTTTGAAAATTCGATCATCCTTAAACCTTCCCTGGGGTCACGCGAGGTACCAAAAAATATTTGGGCCGGATCAGTTCAACTGTTTTGACATTTATTGGATACACACAGACAAACAAACAGACAGACAAGCAAAGTATATGTATATAGATATATTATATAATATATTTGTGATTATACCAGAAAAGGGGGAAACAATTAAAAGAATATCATGCATTATCAATCAGATAACGATTTCATTTGATTGAATCCAACTAATCTTTAAAATTAGAATTTCATGAAATTACAACTGAAGTTCCTTTAAGGTATCCTGAAGCACTGCAGGTACTGAAGGAAGCGGCGAAAATAAATGGAAATTCTCTTCCATCTGATGAAGAGGTGAGAATACTTTGTTATTAAAGGGACGGCCTTGTTTACAATATAATTATCAATATTAATATTTTAAGTTTTTACAAATTACAATTTATGTATACAGTCCATAGCGTGGTATTTATCTAAAACATGAATGAATTAAATGAATCAAAGTTTGGATCACATAAAAATATTCATAATTTTGGTAATTAATACTTTTTGAGTTTCAGAGGATTGGCGGGCAAGTATTAGCATCCCTGACATCTTTCTCTCATTGGGATTTTCTCACGCTCATAGAGATTTTCTCACGTTCATTAGGATTTCCTCACGCTCATTGGGATTTCTCACTCTCACTGATACTTTTTCACGCTCATTGGGATTCTCTCACGCTTATTGGCATTTTCTCACGCTCATTGGGATTTTCTTAAACTCATCGGTATCTCACACTCATTGGGATTTTCTCACACTCGTCGGAATTTTCTCACTCTCACCGGGATTTTTTCACTCTCATTGGAATTTTCTCACGCTCATTGGGATTCTCTAACGCTTATTGGGATTTTCTCTCGCTTATTGGGATTTTTTCACGCTCATTGAGATTTTCTCATTCTCATTGAGATTTTCTAATAATAATAATAATAATAATACTTTAGATGTTGGATCTACTAGAAAATATTGCAAAAGAAGAACAAATCATCGAACCTGCCACAAAAACATCCAAGGAAAACGGTTAAAAACATTTATACCAATTTTTTTACAAAACTTACAATTTTTGTTTTGTTTTAAAAACTTGTTTTTCAATGGGGTATAGGTAGGTTTAATAAAATAGATAAAGAAAATGCAAAGCTTGGTTCCAATATTTTAAAACTAAGCAAATGTTTTAGTAACAATTTGGCTGATTTTATAACAAACAAATTGTCAGAATTCTTTCTTTCCCCATTTAGAGTTTAGTTTACCAATTGAAATTAAATTACAAAACGTTTTAGAAGTTTTAATTGTGTTTTAAACAGGAGAAGGTTGAGCATGTTTTTAAAGAAATGATTGCACTCTTTAAGGTAAAGTTTTTAACAAAATGTTGCACAAACTTGTTCATTTTTTTAAGCATTAAATTTTAAAGTTCTTTTTTTTTGATATTGTTTAGACCCTGACATGAATTGTTTAGACCCTGACTTGTATTGTTTAGACTCTGACTTGAATTGTTTAGACCCTGACTTGTATTGTTTAGACTCTGAGTTGAATTGCTTAGATCCTGACATGAATTGTTTAGACCCTGACATGAATTGTTTAGACTCTGGCATGAATTGTTTAGACCTTGACATGAATTGTTTAGACTCTGACATGAATTGTTTAGACCCTGATATGAATTGTTTAGACCCTGATATGAATTCTTCAGACCCTGAAGTGAAGTGTTTAAACCCTGACATGAATTGTTTAGACCCTGATATGAATTGTTTAGACCCTGGCATGAATTGTTTAGACCCTGACATGAATTGTTTAGACCCTGACATGTATTGTTTATACCCAGACATGAATTGTTTAGACCCTGACATGTACTGTTTAGACCCTGACATGAATTGTTTGGACCCTGACATGAATTCTTTAGACCCTGACATGTATTGTTTAGACCCTGACATGAATTGTTTAGACCCTGACATGAAGACTTTTAAATATTTAGACCCCTAAAATGTATAGACCCTGAAATGTTTAGACCCCTGAAATGAGGAAACGAACTCTAAATATCTATTTCTCCTGGATGGTGGTTGCTGGGGTGTACTATGGTTTATCCTTTAATACTAAGAACATTGGTAAGTCTTTCTCTGAAATTTAAGTTTAGATTTAATTTTCGAATGTATTTTCTTCGGTAACTCTGTAGTGAATAAAACTTCGTTTTAAGTGAATCATCGTTTTTCCTTTTTTTGCCCCCCTTTAAAAAATTGCTATTAATCTGCAAACAAATTTACTTTTTAATGCCTATATTGATCATGTATCATGCTCTTTGACAATCTTCATGTATCTAGCTATTTATGTTAATTGACAGCTTCTCTTTGTTTCCTTGTTAATGTATATCCATTTGAAAGCTTGGTAGAAATCGAAAGTCGTCTTTATTGTATCGAGCTAAACGACGACGACTGTTATGTTTGTATTGTAGGAGGTGATATCTATATATCCAATTTTATTGCTGGGATGGCTGAAGTAGTGGCCTGTGTTCTCATTATTCCAGGTAGATTATTCTTATTAATCGCATTACAAAAACTGATTAAATATGATTGCTCAAAGGGACTGTAAAGGAAAAATGAAAGGGTGTATAGAATGAAACCTGAGAATCTCAGGCGTTCAACGATACATATAAAACATCTATCTGATGTTCCTGTCTCAAGAAATTGATATAATACTGTATCAAATTTATACGAAAATTCATATATATGCAATTTGGTATAAAAGTTGTAGTATTAAACAGATCATATTCAACAAATACGCAACCAATCTGAAAACGACGATATCCCACAGGAGGCTGAGGATCTCAGGTTTGCTCCTATCATAATTTTTTAATTTTTATTTTGCATTTTTTATTGATATAATTTTACATATAGTCCGTATAGTCCGTATTACGTCACCAGAACTTCAGCCAATGGCAGCGCAGTATACTGGTCACGTAATTTCCATCTGTATCATATGACAATGATACTGCACTGCCGGGCCATTGGCTGAAGTTCAGGTGACGTAATACAGACTATACGGACTATATGTAATCAACGTCTGAGATTCTCAGGTTTCGGCCCATACCCTCTTTAATTTTTCCTTTACAGTCCCTTTAATAATGTTTCTAACAGCCAGTTAAATCAGTGCTTTAGCAAAATAATCATAAAAGCGGTTTGGCCATAGTTAGCAAAACATAGTTTTGTTCATTTTGGCACTCAGAGACATCTTTATTCCAAATTTTTGTGTTTTATTTCAATTTTGTTAACATGTACACATGTTAAGCTTTAAACCGGTTTGGTCGAGTTAAATGCTACAGTGGAACTTTCCTGATCGGTGGGCTAGCTTGTATAGCTGTAGCGGTCATACTCTGGACTACAGGTACCGTTTTTTAAATAATCTTACAATATTTTTTTTACTGTAAAAAATGGATTCGGATCTAGGTTCCAACATGTTTTTTACTGATTTGGTAAGGTAAGTAAGGTTGATTATAACTCTAAGTATATAGATGAAGGGTCCCTGGTATGGTTGATTATAACTCTAAGTATAAAGATGAAGGGTCCCTGGTATGGTTGATTATAACTCTAAGTATATAGATGAAGGGTCCCTGGTAGGGTTGATTATAACTCTAAGAATATAGATGAAGGGTCCCAGGTAAGGTTGATTATAATTCTAAGTATATAGATGAAGGGTCCCTGGTATGGTTGATTATAACTCTTAGTATATAGATGAAGGGTCCCTGGTAGGGTTGATTATAACTCTAAGAATATAGATGAAGGGTCCCAGGTAAGGTTGATTATAACTCTAAGAATATAGATGAAGGGTCCCTGGTATGGTTGATTATAATTCTAAGTATATAGATGAAGGGTCCCTGGTATGGTTTATTATAACTAAGTATATAGATGAAGGGTCCCTGGTATGGTTGATTATAACTAAGTATATAGATGAAGGGTCCCTGGTATGGTTGATTATAACTCTTAGTATATAGATGAAGGGTCCCTGGTATGGTTGATTATAACTTTAAGTATATAGATGAAGGGTCCCTGGTATGGTTGATTATAACTCTAAGTATATAGATGAAGGGTCCCTGGTATGGTTGATTATAACTCTAAGTATATAGATGAAGGGTCCCTGGTATGGTTGATTATAACTCTAAGTAAATAGATGAAGGGTCCCTGGTATGGTTGATTATAACTCTAAGTATGACCGGAAAGTTCCTAATTGCTGGGACCTTTGCTCTCGCCTACCTTTACACTGCTGAACTGTTTCCTACCCCAGTTAGGTTAGTTGAAAATTTGTGAATTTCTCAAAGAGATTGTCTCCCAATTTTGAAATACTCATAATACTACTTTTTTTGGGAGTTAGGAGCACATTTTCTATGGGAGTGTAAGTGTAATTTCAATTGTGACCCTCCTTACAAAGATGGCATTACCTGATTCACTAGAGTACCCTTGAAACCTGTCTGATCAATATGTGGAAGAAAACGTTGTTTTTTTAGGTTTTAAAAGTTTTAAATTCTTATAATTTCATTATTCTCTCCTGCATTATAAATGCGTAGTATTTTGTAGAGAAACCACAGTTTGCAATTATTTTTATTTCAAACATTAATTCATACTGTATCAGACATAACTGTAATGGGTACCGTTGTGAATCGGGTATTGTCCATAGATAAAGATAGATTGCGCATAAGACGACATTTTTCATCTTGAAAGATATAAATGTACAGAGATGTTTTAAAGATATTCCTATTATGTAGATTAACTAGGTCGGTTGTGAACATTGGCTGTTCTTATGTCATTGAGTACTTGTGGTGTACATGAGTTCTGTAGAGAGAAATTTAAGTTAGTTTAATCCTTCTCATGTCCTTCTTCAGTTCTCGTCAATATGATATATTGCTCAGTAAAATATTGTTGTTCAAATAGTTCCATTCCCGGAGTTATTTTACACTCTAATATGAAATCCATTAAAACACCAAACCACCCCGCTTATCATTGAAGTACACTTTAACCCCTAGAAGTATGAGTTCGCGGACTGTACAATTCTTAATGATTTTGCGTACATAAGCTACCTATGTTTATTTATTTATCTATGGTTTTCTCATCTTATCATGGAGCAAAGTCACTTGAAATTACGCGTGCAGTCCCTTTAAGCCTCTGTTACCGGTCGAAGATCTTCTAGAGACCCATAATAATCAAAACATTTAAGCGATATATTAAAAGTTTTTTTTTATAATTTGGACGGTTTTTATTGTTTTATATATTGAATTGCATTAATTTTCTAAATTCTTGGTCCAATTTAACGATAATCGAAAAAGATGCGCGAAATGTAACTTAAAAAATGTAATTTTGAAATATAATGTCTGCACATTTTAAGGCAAGTATTGAGTATTTTGGTTTGTTTATGATTCTAATTTAAAAATTAAGGTTGTCATTTGTATTTTCAATTTTGGTTAATTCTCAAAATTTAGACTTTTTATTTATCCTATTTTAGAAATGTGGCAGTTGGCGGAGCCTCAACATTTGCCAGAGTTGGATCCATGTCAGCTCCATATATTGTTGATATATTAGGTCAGTGGATCCATGTCAGCTCCATATATTGTTGATATATTAGGTCAGCTCCATATATTGTTGATATATTAGGTCAGTAATATGTAATATACTACAAAGGCTATTTGGTCGTTATCTTCTTTTTAACTTTTAATTATTGCTCAATCTTTCAGCCTTTTATCTTTGATAAAACAATAATAAAAAACTTTTTTTTTCTTGGATTTTTTAAATTTTACGAGGATTTAAACTTTTTGGAGACACTCTTAGCGTTTAGATTGTTTTAAATTTGGAAAAAAAGTTTGAAAAAAATAGCTATGAAAAAAGTTTGAAAAAAATGAACTATGAAAAGAATTTGACTCCTCCTAAAGCACCCAAAAAGTTAGCATCAAACAATACAAACGCTGTAGAAAAATTCCGAAATAACTAATAAAATTGTGCAGTAATTTGTGTAGAAAAGACGAAATAATTTGAATATATTTTGCCTTTCTTGTCGTATAAATAAGGGTGCAAAATAAAAACTTAACTGTAATAACATAGATGTGCAAGTTGGTACACATTAATGTGCACTGCACTATCTTTTACTATCTATGGTCAGCTCAAACATTTTCTAAAAAAAAGGAATATAAATGTTGGCTTTATTTTGATCCATTCAGTAAAACTAATCGTTTGCCTTGTCTATTTTCTGCATTTGACACCCTAAGCTTATACTTCTTTTTAATTGCTGCTAAAGGTTTTTTAAGTGATCGAATCCGTGTCTTTCGGATTCACATATTTGTAATATTTTTTGTTGTATATTTTTATATTCAGATTTTGTGATTCTCTTAATATTCCGTCTAATTTATTCTCATCACTCGGCGGAAAACGAACTACTTGACCGATTTGGCTCAAATTTAAATTGGGAAACTCGGTATAACCACGAAAATGTCTTAAGTTAAAAATCGTAAGACCAGTTATTTTTTTTAAGAAAACTTGGCTTCCAGGCAAAGCTGGTTTCCCAAGCAAGTATGTCTATTTAAAGGCTTAAGAATAAAGATACCTATACTTCTGATTGATTGGTATTGTTTAGGGAAGAGAAGTGCTGGAGTTCCTTCTCTTATATTCGGTATTAGCGCTACCCTGGGTAAGCGTATTATAAGCAAAAATACGGAATTAATGTCGTCTTTCTTCTTCCCTTTTATTGAAGAAATGTCTCTAAGGATTTTATATTTTTGTTTTTTTTTAATATCTCTAAAAATGTTTAGCGCACTTGAGCTGAAAACTTCTGAATGGTGGATATCAAGATCAATGCTTGATCTAATCTTTTTCTTAATCTCCAGATTAAATAATGCTTGTTCTCCTCCTCGTTATTTATCTCCAGATTAATTAACAGATCGGGATTGCGGATATCCCATTCTAAAGTTTTCAGCTCTGTTTAGAAATAATAAAATTAAATCAAATTAAATAATAAAACAAAAGCAACATTTTATGATCAAAATGAAAGAAAACGACCAGAGACCCAACTGTTATATTTTTATGATGACATCCCCCCCCCCTTACTTATATATTATTATCCAATCCGTTTTAGAACATGTTTTCGACGGTATTTTCATATTTTATTATTTATTATTGGCCGGAAATTATCTATATAAGAACTATAAAACGTTGGAATAGTAAAACGACATTTAACCAATTTTAAAGTGTAATTGTTGTTGTTACAACGCTCAAAAATTCTAAAATCATTGAGTATTTAAATGTTATGTGCACACTGCATACTATCCAATTCCTGTGTCTCATATGTGCTCATTGAACTTTTTGAATTATAACTTGAGTTGTTTTTCTTTTTTATTATTAACGGTCCTTAATATTTGTTTTAACTGATGCAAATTTCTCCCCCCCTCCCTTACAATTTACCCCAATTCCGGGGATGCTGGATCTTTGCTACCTCTCCTTAGCCCTAAGTGTACACTTGGGATAGTTTACTGATGAAGGATGAAGGATATTATGAGATTACGGCCTATTCATACAGCTAGTACAAACATCAAATATGCAGTACGCTTTCGGAGTACAAGAGTATGGGGAGTTTTTATATCTTGAATTTTACTCAGTTTTCTCAGAACAGTTCATTAACGATAAAATATTGCTCTGTAATAGACTGTAAATGTACGTCTTCCTGTGAAAATAAAATCCTGCACACAATAAAGGAGTAGTGGATTTTAATAGTTACATAGAAAACAAATTCTCCATTTAAATATTTTTAGAAATCACCCCCGAGTACTGGAATATACAGATTGACCTTTGGAAGTGAAGTACATGGCCTGTTGCAATTAGCAAAGTATTAGTGTACATCATCACTCTATACACTATAACATCGTTGACCCCAATTATGCCCTTGATTCCCTTACCTACAGTCTGCGTAAATATATAAATTGGTTTTGTCAGATTTTTTGAGCTTCTTCTTAACAATGAATAGCTTCTTAATTATTGAAAATCAAGAATGCCAGAAAACTGTTTTTAACTTCCTATTTTTGTCAGCTGGTCTATTCGCCACAATGCTGCCGGAAACACTAAACCGGAAGTTGCCGGAAACTATCGAGGATGTTGAAGAGTATGGACGGTTGAAGAAAGATAAGGTGAGATCATTTTCCCGGTAGACTGGCCTTATTTCTTTTAACAATGCACCTCTAATGCTTTGGTAACATATTCAATAAATGAAAAATTTGAATGTTTAAGAGTATGGGAATTGCTGATACAGAATTACAGGCCTGAGCACGCCTGTATTTTTTAAGGTAAAACATTATAAATTTTTTTCATATGAGTGCCTGGTCGGATGTAATATTTAAAATTTTGGATTCTCGTTTTAAGTTTAATACTCAGGACTCATTTCTGAACATCACTTGCTTTGGATGTCTTGTTGGCCAAATTGGTCTTGGGAAACCGGGGCTTGGAACTTTTTTTGTTGGATACTCATAATGTCGATATATTGATCTCGATATCCGCGCCATTTAATGAGTGAACTGGTCGAAAACTGGCAGGGAGTGAAAAGGATCGGTTTAAAAAGGAAACTTATAGTGTTCACATTATATATTCAGATAAAGCGATCAAGATCCAATTCTAAAGTTTCAGTATAGTTTCCAAATCTTCACTTTAGTTATTACTACCCTAATCAAAGTTTCCTTCAACCTCTGACTGGATACTATTAACATGCGGGATATCGAATAAAGATTACTTTACTCTGAGATCTACAGAATAACAGAAGATCGAGATCAAGCATTGAGCTCTCCAACGCATCAAGTGACCGATCATTTAAAGAATAAGATAAGCATCGGTGCTCTTTAAACATATATTCTAGTAATAATAGTATGGGTGGGACAATTTGGCACTTTTTTTACTAAACATTTCCAGATCCTTTCAGCACGTGTCAAGTTATTGGCAAAAAACGGACTTTTTAACGGAAATTTTCCTGATTCCTCCAAAAAAAAATAGTTTTTTGGTCCTCGATCAACCAATTTTCACAATTTTTTAAGAACCCCGAACAGGGCAATAATCCGTGGTTAGAGGCGCAACTTTAGATACCCATATCGACATGTTTCGAAAAAAATGAAAAATCGACCACCCTTGGTGCTTGCGCTGACCCATTTTTTTTAAAATCTAAAATAATTCACATGTTTTTTGTAAGTTTAATTGAACAATTTTTGCTGCGTGTTGGTTATTTAAAAAAAAAATTCTTATTGTCCCAGGGTTAATAATAGTCAAACATGTCGTTTTTCTATCTTATCTCTGACACATAAATTCTCAATACTAATGTCAATTTTTTATGACTTGACCCTGACAAAGGTATGAAGGGAACCTTTTTGTATTGAACGTTGGACACTTAAACTTGAGGGTCATTTTAAACTACGTCGACTGTTAAAGAACTAATCCATTTTGTTTCAGTATGTATGTATGTTACCGAGGCATTGAGACTTGAGCGGATTTTTAAGATATAAGTTAGATTTAATATTGAAAGCATTTTCCAGCAACTTACTTAGCTAGTTAACTTGTAATTTTAAGTTTCTATAAAAGTTATTTTGTAAGAAAATAAATAAACAAAGACGATCACGAAATCGTCAATTAATTCTGTTGCTTATTGAGACACCCTATAGAAGCTTTCAAGAATCTTTTTTCCAAATATTAAAGTTATAAAATAATATTTTCAAGCTGGTATGGTACTTTATTCCTATGTTTATTTAGAAGTTATAAATGCGTAAATAAGAGACTTTATGAGCGGATCACCCTATGTATTTTGGATATCCCTGTAAGTTATAAATGCGTAAATAAGAGACTGTATAAGCGGTCACCCTATGTATTTTTGATATCCCTGTAAGTTATAAATGCGTAAATATGAGACGTTGTAAGTGGTCACCACAATACCGTGTGTCAGTTTTAAATACGCAAATAAACTGTCTCTTTATACACGATGATAATTTCAAGTGATCCTCCATTTAAAGAGGGCCATGCTCGATTCCCGATGATAACGTGTAAACTTTTATCTGATTGATGATTTGAAATTTATGAGTGTTTTCCATAGGGTTGGGAATTGACAATTTAATATTGGAGATATCGCCGTAAGGCCTAAAAAAATATTTCAAAAAGTAAATATGATACATCTTTTTTTATAAATTTCATGCTGAATTCAGATTCGAAAACCATTTTTGAATATATTAAAATCTAAAGAAGTTATGGCCAAATAACGGTACTAAATTCCAATTTTTAAATTTTTGAATGTTTTTGATGAGTTTTTTAGCTCTGACTCTCTGAATTTAAAATTTTTTTGAATGCTTTTCAGATTTGAATTTAGCATTGAATTTCCAAGAAAATGATGTATAACATGAAAATAAAAAACGCAGCGACTTCCGGTGGGCGGTTGGCTCTATTACAATATTGGCGGTTGGCTCTATTACAATATTGATCACCCCTACTGGACAACGTTAGAAACATTAAGGCTTGAACATTTTAATACAACGCAACATATAGAACATTTTTTCAAATCTTTCTTAGAAACGAAACAAATAAACAGTTAAGAGCAAATCAATGCTTAATCTAATCTTTTTGTTGATTTCAAGATTAAGTATATAACTTAACTCATCGTGTTGGATTTGGAGAAACCAGAACAGCACATCAGAGAAGCCAGGAAATTTGAAATTTTGCCTGCAAGTTATTAATATTCATTGGTTGGAAACTTGAAGTGAGAGAAAAAGAATGTAAAAAAGCGAATTAAGAAGGAAATTAAAAGTGTCTACATTGGATCTATTCAGATAAAGCGATAGTGATATGTGGTATTCATTTCTAAAGTTTTCAGCTCAGATCATTATATAGCTTTCCTTTGGATGACCGGTTTCAAACTACTCTCTCTATATAAACTGTTTCTTCTTTGATTCTTTATTTAGATGGTGATACTTTATAGATTTTCTTACAGTTTAACATCAGATGAAAGGGGGGGGGGGGGTAGAAATTGATTGAAGTAATATAGCAACAATATAACATTGATTAGAACAATTTTTAAAATGATTTCATATAAATACTTAAACGAGTTTTATCTATTATGTATGTATGTCTACATCAGCGTCCATAGTTGGTTTAGCCCTTACTGAAGCTAAACTCAGGGTTCAGGCATTTACATTCAAATACGCTATATAAGGCACGTGCGCAACAATTGGAAATGTACATATTCTATATAGTAAAAAATGGGAATAGATCAAATGCCTAATTTTAAAACACTCATTTAGGAAAAATGTGAGAAAAATGTATTGATTCATTACATGGAGATATTAAAAAGTCCTTGGTAAAAATTTAGCTTTTCATTAGTAGGTTTTAGAAATAAATAAAATACATTTTTATTTTTCACCAATCTTGTTAATTGAATAAAAAATGTTAGACAGAAGAAGTTCCTAGTTTTCCAATATTCATGAAAAATAAAATGCAACCAAAACAGTTGAAAACTACACAAATAGAACGAATCCAGAGATAAATAGAAGCAAATAGATAATCATAAAGAAAGGAAACTGAACAGCTAAAACTGTTCTCCTGATCAGATCACTATAGTTTTTAGAAATTAATATTTCCATTTATTGATAGCGCCGATTGAAGGATTCATATCTCTAATTGGATAATGAGATAGATAGAAAGATAGACGTTACCACAATACTATTGCTATTGGTTCAGAATAGACAACAAACACATGACTGAACCCTGATTGGAACAGGCACTAATGGACTTGGCATACAGGAGTGAGATTTATATGACAAATAGTTAGTTTAAATTGCTTCAGTTTTTCACCAATATTTTTTTATTCAGATTACCATATTGTTGTATTTAAAGAGGTGTTCATTAAAGTCTCATCTTTATCCATATATATTTAAGAAGATAAGGAAAATGAACTTATGAAATTTTAAAAATTGTCACATCGCATTTTCCTTTTTATTTTGACTCTCTGTAAAGAAAAAAACTTAGTCAATGATTCAATATATTTGACAAATTAAACAATTTGCTTTTAAAAAGTTCATTCTTTTCAACACTTAACAGAGTTACCACAATTTTTGGCGCAGTTCACCAAGTCTGCTGTATTAGAGGTCACACTTAGAACAGGTTCCGAGAGACAACAAGAGTAAGGACATGCATTTTCATCTGACCAGTAAAAATCAACCTAGAAATATTTTATTGCTTTTAATTTGTTAGATTACTTTGAAGAATTTTAGATTCTGATTTTGTTTTGAAAATTCAAAAATCTTTTGAGTATTTTCAAAAAAAAGATATCAACTTTTTGAGCTCAAATTGTCTCAAGTTATTCGCCCTCTGCATAAATCCTGAGCTGGGACCTTTAATGTTAGATACCTTAAAATCCTGATCGCTTCATTTCAATATCCACAGTAGGCATTTCAGAATTTACCCAGAATCTATGTGTAATCTCTTGATTTTGAATATCAGCAATTTCTCTGTACTTTCATTATTTGAATACAAAATTCTCTTGCTTATTGTTTTATGCAGACGACTCATAACAGATTAAATAAGTCTGTAGACTAAGAAAAGATTGAAACCTATTCTTGATCTTGATATCCACAGTTCGAGATATCCCAGCTTGGGTCAAATTTTAAAGAAAAAACTTACTCTGTTATTTGCCAAACTCCATTCTCCAACACTTGCAGTCCACATAATTTTGCCGCCTGTCACTTCACTTATGAGAGAAGCCTTAACAGAAAATTTGCATAAAACAAAAGTTTACAAAAAGATTTTTTGTTTATTCACCTTGTAACATGACCCTAGAACATCCTTATCAGTTTCACCCTCAAATACAGCTTCATTTCCAGGGGAAAAGTCAATCATATCCTCATGGTCTAGTGCATTAGTTTTACATTCAGTAACCCCAGATACAATCTGTCCTCCAATGATTTCTAGAATGGGTCCATCCTCCACAGCTGTTCCTTGGCATCCATTGCATGATCCAGTGTTAAGAACAATCTGTTTGAGAACAGTCACACCATCTGCTTGTATACATTCATGAACTCCATTACATTCAAGAGATCCAGCACAGTTATCATCATCAATACAACCTAGTATTAAGATATTCTTTATTGAATTGAATGTAATTTAAGCCTGAGTATTCAATGGATTACCTGGATTGCACTGTCCAACCTCATTATTCTCGCTGTCACACCAATTACAATTATCATACATAGGGGTGCAAATTACATCAAAACCTGGACACATTTCATCATTCCTGCAACCTGCTACACATAAATTGTCTTCAGCACAGATTGGTTTTTCAGGGTCCATACAATCTGCATCTACACAACACTCTGGGTCAGTACAGACATGATCTTCACATGTTGCACAACCACCACAATCAGCATCAGTTCTGCAACCATCCTCACAGATCAAGGCATCAGTACAATATTCAGTAGAGGCACAATCCTCATCAGAACAACAATCAGGGTCAATACACTGCATAGCATTCAGATCACATGATGAGCATGACATGGTGGTGCAATCTGAGTTCTCATTACATCCTGGTACGCAAGTATTTGCATCAGAGCAGTACTCTGTATCTAAACAATCAACATCTGAACAGCAATCAGGATTGATGCATTCAAAGGAATCCAAGTTACAGGTTGAGCAAGCCATGGCTGTACAATCCTCATTAGCACAGCACTCGGGTTCAGTGCATTGATTGCTTTCACAAGTAGAACAGCCTTTGCAGTCTGAATCTTCATTACATCCAACTTCACAGGTGTTTGCATCTGAGCAGTACTCTGTATCTAAACAATCAGCATCTGAACAGCATTCAGGATTGATGCATTCAAAGGAATCCAAGTTACAGGTTGAGCAAGTCATGGCTGTACAATCCTCATTAGCACAGCACTCTGGTTCAGTGCATTGATTGCTTTCACAAGTAGAGCAATCTTTGCAGTCTGAATCTTCATTACATCCAACTTCGCAGGTTTGATTATCAGAACAGTATTCATCAACTTTGCAATCAGCATCGCTGCAACATTCTGGATTCTTACAGATGTTGGACTCCATGGTGCAAGTTGAACAGCTCATATTTGTACAATCAGAATCATTGCAGCACTCAAGAGGGGTGCACTGATTTCCTAAGCAGGAGGAACAACCCTATTTAACAAATCTACTTAAATCTTTGCATTGTGTTATGAATGTTTGCATATAAAAAAAGCCTTGTTTAATAAGAAATTTAAAAAAGATGCCTCGCAATCTGAATCTAAGCAGCACTCAGGCTCTGTGCACTCATGATCTATGCATTCTCCACATGTTCCACAAGCAGCATTGTTTCTACACCCTTCCAGACATTTGCCATCATCACAGTACTCATTATCTAAACAATCCTCATCCACAAGACACTCCACAGGCATGTAGCAATCAATTTTTGAAGGCAGTGTAATGAAGTCACATACAGGACCAACTGGGTATTGGTATCTTACATCAAAGTAAAGAGCTTCAGTAGCACTAGCTTTTGCACATTCAAAAAGACATGCAGAAAGGTCAGGCTCACAAACCCAGAATCGGCTGCAATCTGTAAAAAGTGTCAGTAGAATTTCATGGATTTCAATTAAAGAAACTTACTCCACATATGCTCAATAAATACTGGCTCCTTTGTTACTGGATTAACATAGTCTTCACATTTTGGAGGCTTAGTATCCATCGGCAAGCAATCCTCTAAAAAATATGTTTATTTTTAGGTTTCAGGTTTCTTATTGGGGAATATGAACTTTTTGATATTTTAGAATCTAGAATTCTCTTTTTGCTCTTGGTAAAATATTGTTCTGTAGTCATTTTACACTGGTACAAAATCTAAAAAAAAACAATGTAATGCAAAAAGGTTTGAAGATTTGGGGAGTGGGGGGTATATATAATCTTCTTATCAGAACGATAAGATATAAAATAGTGACAAATGTATTTCTGGTCTATTTTTCTATTTTAAATCATTTCTACATTTTTCCTTTAACCAATCTGGGAACTTTTGTGTTGTTTACAAATAATCCCAATCCTCTATTTTCTCTGTTCTCTCATTGGCTGACCGCAAAATTTCTTGGCTGTTGATTGGCTGTTTGTTTTCCAAAGCATTGATTTGGAAATCCAAAATTCCCACCTTAGAAGTTCCAGCCAATGAAGAGAAATAAGTGCAAGCCAATTTAGAGTTTTGAACCCCTTTTCAATAGGTTAAACTGTCTTAGTTGAATACAACTTTAGAATTTCTTCAGAAGTTTAGAACTCAAATTAGATATTAAATGAGTTTGATCCAGTGAGAATTATCATAATTGTGAAAAATAATTTTGAACAAATTTATCACACAATTGGTAATTTGTCTATACTTTCTTATGTCAAGATGTGAAAAGCTGAACTTACCTGGACCAGCCATTGCACTTGGCATAATAGCCAAAAGTGCCAGTAAGTACAACATTTTGATATTACTCTGAAAAATATGAATTACCAAGCTGTTTTTGAAATAATATACAGTGAAACCCTTAATAACAAATACATCGGAAGAATTTATCAAATGTTGTCTTGACAATTTTTCAATGAGTTTTACACGCTATTACGTAAATTTCAGTATTTGCGAAAATAAATAAATAGCCATGAATATGCGGAAACAGTTTTAAAGAGTTCCATATAATCATTTAATTAAAAAATTAAATATCTGCAACTTTCTATTATCAGAAAGTGAAGAATACGACATTTGATGAATTCTTTCGATGTATTCGTTATTAAGGGTTTCACTGTATCTAAAGCTTTGTATTCTTTTCCATTTTACTTTTGCTTTTAATATGGATCTAGGACCATTTAGTTTTCTTTCTAAATAGAAAATTGAAAATTTGGCATTAAAAGATATTTTGAATTTCTTATATATTTAAGTCTATTATAATGCTCTCATGTCTAAACACTTTTTTAAACTCAGAGTACTTATTGAGAAGAAGTACTCTTATATAAATTCTAAACAATGATAAGCTCCAGATTAAAATTCAGAAATATCAAACAAAGAAAATTGACAGCATTCATACTTCTTAAAATTTTAACTGTAAATTCCCCTTTGAGCAAACTCGTAAATTGGCTTTATAATCGCCGCAAATAAATCAAATAAAATTTTTAAATTGTGAATTACTTATTTTCATTTTCTTGGATACAGAAGCCACCCCCTCCCCCCTATAATCCTACAGCCAAAGATAGCTGACCGAACCCTACACTAGTTGGAAAAACAGAGAAGGGAGAAAGATTTAATCTTCAGGGTGGAGATTTTGGCTAGGATACAAATCAGTTGGGAGTTTAAGGGAGGATAAAGAAATTCCTACTCCTACTCCCCATGTTGTTATGACGGCTGATCTGAGTCCTGAGAAGCAGTCAAGCTCAGGAACGGAACTTCAGAATTGCTCCTGCCATGGGTTAATCAAAGATCTGCACATGGTAACCAGAGTCTGTGGATCTAGATGGCATTCAAGCCTAGAATGCAAGATGATCACAGGAAACCCGAATCTGAAGAAACTACAGTAGCAGTATATCCACATCGCTTTAGTTCTTTAATTTTTCTTATTTGCTTCCCTTTTAATAGACATGTTCAACTATTTTGTTCTTTTGTTGGTGCGTGATTTGATAATTACTAGGATATTGATTACCCCTTTTGTAAGTTAACTTTCGGACATTTAACACTAAATCCTGTCAAATAACAAACTAGCTCCTGATGGGGCCCGGTTCCAAGCACGAAATTCAATGTTCTATTTTACATGTTTATACTGAGCGTCAGAAATTGCTTTCTGGCTTGGTTTAGAATACAGCAATGAAAAGTGTATTGTAGTTTTAATGGTAGCGTAAACATTGAAGAGTTAATCAGGGAGTTGGAAACCTTTAACCTTGTCCCGTATTACAGAAATCCTTATATTTTTAATCACATGGATTTTAAAACTAACATTTTGTTAAAAATGAATAACAGTAAAGTAATTTAGAGTTTAGACTCACTCGTTCCTTATTCCACATGAATGAAAACAATTTTCTTAGAATTTCTTAGATTTTATATCAAGAGCTCTTTTGGCAAATGGCTGTAGGCTAGTTTTTTCATACTTTTAACCCCCCCCCAAAACAAAAAAAAAACACCCTTGGCTGTGAGTTATTCCAAATATTTGATTTCCTACGTCAATTATCCAAGGTATATTTACATAAGGTTTAAATATGTAGCTGAAGGTCTATAACTCTAGGAAAGTAATGTTTAGCAGCTTACTGGAGATAACAAGGATCCAGTTTGAACTAGGATTCATAATTGGAAAACCCAACGAGGTTATAGTGTATAGAGGGAGGATGTACGCTAATCATTTATTTTATGTACAGGTCGTGTATATCAAAGGTCAATCTGTATATTGCAGTACGTGGGGGATTTCTGAAAACAATTTTTTTCGCTTAAACATAAATTGGTTTGAAATAAAGAAAACCTAAAGGGGCTAGTGTAGACATTTAATTTCAAAACAGTTCCTAACATGCCTAAAAATAAAAGATATATCAAAAACTCAAACTATTGTTTAAAGGAATAAAGCTATTTTTAGTGTTTTTTAACAATTGTTAAAACATGTCATGCATGTGTCACAAAATGTTGTCCCAATTGGTTCAGCCGTTCGACGTTTTTAAAGACCCAGACATAAAAGGCAACTTGGATATACTTTCTAATTATTTATCCCAGCAGTAAACCTATAAGAAAATACAATTTCGAATTTGCAAATTGTTGCCAACAAATCTTCAATGATAAAAAGACGAATGAAAAGTGAGACTGGAGATTTAAAGGGAGTGTTGGCGAAAAAAGAAAGGGGGTATAGACTTACGGCGAAAAATAAGCGCTTTTGATCGCTACTAATCTTACTTCTATACTGAAGAACGTTTCGTCCTTGCAAATTCAGAAAGTTGCAACATTCAACTCGGATCGTAAAATATCAATTTAATTCCAAACAATTCGTTCAGATATCACAAACAATAGTCATCGATTATTTTTCGACGCATTTGTATACAGTTGGTATTTCATAATATTTTTGATTTTGTTTTTTTAAAATAATATTTCGCTGGTGCTGGAATTTCGAACATTCCTGGAAAATATGAAAATGTTGTCTTCATTCTCAAAAATTACTCAAAAGTAACTGATGGTGATCTGATAATAAAAGAACAACAAATATTCTGAAATATCAATTATATACGAATGCTTCGAAAAATTATCGATGATAATTGGTTGTAATATCTCAATGATTTGTTTGGATTTAAATTTATATTTTTTATGATCCGGGTTGAATGCTGTAACTTTCTGAATTTGCATGGACGCTAAGTTCTTCGGCATTAGTCGTTTTAACAATTTTCACCTCATAGGCGCAACATATACGAGTAAGATTAGTAGTGATCAAAAGCGCTTGTTTTTCGCGAACACTCCCTTTAAAAAGTGACTTTTGGATTCACACCCTTCTAACCCTTGTGTGATCAAGAATCAATGAGATATCCTCATATTTCTATCTGAAATTGATAATTTGGTGTCCTCCACATTATTAGTTAGATACAGGTTTAAAGGGTACCATTGTAAATAGGGCGTGATTCACATACTCAGCCCCTGTGTAAAAACAGTACAGTAAAGTTGTTGGAAATATCAAAATTAATATTGTTTAGTTCAAAATAAGGGGGAAAAAAGTGAACAGTACATTTTTCAATCGGTTTTTTGTGCTATTTAGATTCAGGTTTAAAGGATACCACTGTGAATGGGACTCAATAATTATAGGGAATCACTTGAAGTTCCGTCTACAGGACACAGGTGTGAAAATACTTTATTTTGATTAAATACAAACTATAAAAAGTAAAAATCACATCAAAATCTTTTTCACATGCATGATACCCATTACAATAACATTCATAGTTGCATTTAATTTTACTCAACTTTTTTAATTTTTTGAAATTTTAATAGCAGGGTAAAAAAGTTACTTTTTCGTCCTATTGTAGGGCGATAAAGTCACTTTATCACCCTTCTTAAATTGCGTGATTACAGCCTTATTCATTCAAAATTAAGCAATAATAAGTTGCCAATTTTGGCCACCATGGTGGCGTGCAAGATGGTGGCGTGAAAGTGGCGCCATGGTTGCAGGATCAGAAGTGGCGCTATGGTGGCAGGTTCAGAAGTGGCGCCATGGTGGCAGGTTTAGAAGTGGCGCCATGGTGGCAGGTTCAGGAGTGGCGCCATGGTGGCAGGTTCAGAAGTGGCGACATTTTATTCCTAATTGGTTTAGAAGTGGCGCCATGGTGGCAGGTTCAGGAGTGGCGCCATGGTGGAAGGTTCAGAAGTGGCGCCATGGTGGCAGGTTCAGAAGTGGCGCCATTGTGACAGGTTCAGAAGTGGCGACATTTTATTCCTAATTTTTAATTTATATATTCATAAAGCAGATAAAAAATCACTGGCAATGTGAATTTAATATTAGATTAAGAATTTTTGATTAAAATGATAAATGAATCGGAATAGATTAGCAAAATAATTCAAATCGCCACATTACACGATTTTGAATATTATATACAGTCTTGAAATTTAGAGTGTAACCCTAAACTCACCCCTGCTCTACACTGGAAATATATCGGAAAGATATCTTATATTCAGTAATTAAGAATCATAGGATCTCTACATATTTTTTTTAATCTTTGAGTTATTGTTACTCAGACCAACTTAAATTACTCCCGTTTTTGTGTTATTATAATTAAAATATTTGAATCCTCTAAATTCAGTAAAATGAAAGTTTTATTTTAACTGTATTTTTTTTTTAATTTTGAATAACAAGGCTCCACTTCCGAACTAACCACCACGGCGCCACTTTCGCACTGCACCGTGGCTAAAAATGAACTCTCATTATTCCTTAATTTCGAATGAATTCATTTTGAATGAATTCATGTGAACTTCAAAAACTATGGTTTGATTTCAATACTCAAATAAACACAATCTACTAAAAATTGTTAAACAGTTAACAGAATATTTTAAAAGAAATGATTAACACTATCAAAATTGTGATAACTATGCAGTTTTCTGATTTGATTCATGTATAAATACCTTTTTTTGTGCATTCATAGTTTACAGTGTACGAGTTTAAATTAATTGAACTCTAAAAAGGGAAGTGTCAACTAAAATGAAGTAAACAGTCTCTTGAAATTTTAAGGTTTTTTTATCATGAATTATAATACGACAATATTAATCAATTGACGTCAATAAATATACCTTGTTATGTTTAACGTTTATTACTTTGTATTAACATTTATTGTTTTGTGACTGAATGGCGCAGAGCCGCTTATCTTTTTAAATATCTTTTGAAATATGTGGGAATAAATAATGCCCGTGAATAGAGAAGCGGGGGNACTAGACACCAACACCAGATGTTAGACCCCAACATAAGACACTAGACACCAACACCAGACATTATCCACCAGACACTAGACCCCAAAACCAGACACTAGACCCCTTCACCA